TGTATTGAATACCATGAGCAACATTTGCGGAAAAAAGGGCGTGATTGCTATCAGTAACCTCAGAAACTATAATTTAACGACTGTGTTCAATCTCCCCAGTGGATCGATAACTATGAAATGTAGAATGTTGAATAAATCGTTAAGAGGATTGAGCAGAGGAGACATTTCGAGAACAGTTATTGCTACAAACTTAAACTGTTGTTTCAAGAGCGAATTTTCATGTCTGATAGACTCAACCCCTCCTGTGAGTTCCCTACACAACTGCACAATAGCCTCAGTTCGTTTTGGATCACGAGTTAACTAAGATGAAGAGGGAAGAATTCATTTTCCTTGATAGCAGCCACGTTATTATCGAGGGCATTTGCTGGAGTGGATTAGGGCTCAAATCGGTTGTATGAATTTTATCGGCTCCTTTGCGTACCTGAAGAAATGAAGAAAGCTAGACGCCAGAGAGATGTCTTTCAGCTAGACCCATAAGATTCTTCCATAAAGGAAATAAAAGTGGGTCAGTGCAAGGACTGCTCTTGCGAAGTCTGACATTCCTCTTTTGAAGGTCAATTTATTCAGCTCTACAATTGCAGATCAGTGATTTTGGACTTTCGCTGACCACGGACGGTGAGTCGCCGTTGTCAGCCAGCGGTCGCCTGCCGATAAAGTGGTTAGCGATAGAATGCCTACAGCGAGAGTTGTTCTCAGTGAAGAGTGACGTGTAAGTTGTTCCATTCAGAAGGTTCAAACACCTTGTTCTTGAAATATTGCTCGGTCCAAAGTAGCTCCTAGATTTGCTCACAAAAAAACGAGCTGCTTGTTACATTTGGGGGACCCTCACCGCTACTCAGCTCGCCTAGCTGCTAAGAAGCGGTAAGGGTCCTCACAAATGTAGCCAGCAGTTCGTTTACCATTTTACTTTTCAGCTCACATGCCAGTATTCGATCTCTTACGAAATTGTCTTCCTTCGCATAATATCTCAAATTGTTTGGCAACACAATTGTTTTCCACGTACACCAACACACCAAAATGGCACATTAGCTGGGTCGTTTCAGATGGTCATACGGTATTGTTCTTTTCGAGATGTATTCAATGGGTGAGCGTCCGTTTGAGGATATCGAGCCGTTGAACCTTATTCCTCATTTGGAAGCTGGCAATCGGCCAAAAAGACCACTACTTGCTACGGACAAAATGTGCGTGCATTTATACAGTTTTTTCTATTTCGTTTTCATTAGTGATCCGGTTATAATTATTTTTATGAACTTCACAAGAAAGATGTGATAACCTAATAGAGCCCGTCTTCTCTATTGAGAAATCTTTTATAGCTCTTCTATCAAGGGACCGTATTTCAAAATCATCTGTTATTTTCAAAAGAAAAACTATTTTAGAGCTGAAGTTATGACGAGATGTTGGGACAAAGTACCTGCTAAACGACCATCTTTCGAAGAGATCTCATACATATTTACTGGATTACTCGAAGAGGTATAGCTAAGTGCAGGTCGCATAGTATAATATTGGTATTAAAGCGTCTTTTTGTAATATGGCAAGCAAAGTTGAACGGTTCGAGATAGTGGCGAGCACGGGATGAAAAGTTTCAGAAGGGGGGGGGGGGGGGGGGGGGGGGGGGGGNNNCAGGGCATGTGAGTAAGCTCGTCATGGATCGTCCATTGTATTAGGCTGAGAGTAGGCTGAGTGATAAGTAGTGTCCGTTTTCTTTTCGGAAGAGCGTGAAATTTTCTAGCACATGCTCCCGTTGATCCCGAAAATGCTATAAGGGGACCTCAGCATACTTTTATACCGTTGAGTTTGTAAGTCCCTTTCGTCTCTGTGAAGCACTAATGCCGTTCACTCCGGCTCATACTCGGCCGGTCTTCTTCGCAGTTCCGCATAGGCATCGAGGCTCTTTGCAACATTTATGCCGCAGAAGGGCCGGAGACATACGAAACAGCCTTTTGATATTGTTGTTGGTTTCAGAAGCTTGCGAAGGCAACTACAGGCTTCAAACCAACTTGATTGAAGCGTACATTAACCATAGATTTCGATCAGATCGAGGTGCTCTTACAAAGCAAATCGTACGCTACCACCCGTCGAATTGCTGCAGACATCTCACACAAACCAAAGGAAGTAGCTCTGCAGAGTGAGCATCTGTCAAAGCTTGCTGTCCACAATTCACAGTTTCGACAAAGTTCATTGGTTGATTGGTTCGGAAAGATCGTTGTTAAGGTCGAGAAATGTTTGGTCTACGTAAACCATACACCGCCACTGTATCTGTGCAAATCTATAGCCACTATAAGAGGCGAGCTAATCCGAGGTGGGTCATGCTCGTTTGGAGTACGAAGTGCGAGTACGAATCCTACACCACTGCAGACCTTCAAAAGACAGTACGCTTGCACACTACTGTTTGCAGTGCCGTAGAGACGGTACGGAACTCACTGCGGAATTCGCGGAAGTGCAGCTCCTCCGTGGTGGAATTTTTCCTTCTTCACGATAACGCACGCCTACCTGTGTCGAAGAGAACCCTGAGGCAGTTTCGAACTCGGCTTCGCAGTTCTCTCTCACCTTCTATATTCTCTTGTTCTCCCATCAAACGACTGCCACCTGTGTTGGAGATCGAGGGCTACAGTGCCCGCCGAAATGGACCTTCTGTCACTGTAAACAGCAGAGATCTGGTGGAACGTTGTCCGTACAAAAGCAAGCATATGATGGACAGTTGTAGAAAGTTGTGGTGGATACAGCACTCAATAAAATCAATGGGAAAAAGTTGTGTTACTTGGGATATCGATATCGAAACCGGAAATTTTTTATAGCTCAGCCCAATGTGATCATTTCCAACCCTATCGTATAGCTCGCTCCTCGTTTAGTCCGCTGAAAGAAGGTAAGTTATTTCACAAATACACAACCCTGTTCAACTAGAGCCAGGAGCACTGATCGGTTCTTTGTAGGAGAAAGATATCATTTTCTTAATATATTATTCAGAGAATAATTCTTTGAATAATCAAATTGAGAGAAGCTATTTCAGTCTACCGAAGGATATGGATATTTGGCACTGATCAAGACTGCCGAAACCTACATGGCAACTGCAGAGCTATCTAGTCACCATGAGGTTTGTAGAATGGTGGAACATTCTGTATGTTTACCGCATGGCAGTGATTTCTCACCTTCCTCATAACGAAGACCGGCGATATAGACACTGTTTAAGCGAGAGAACGACGTGGTGGTTTCTGAAGCTTACAATCAGTGTGCTATAGCCCAAATCGGTACTACTACCACTGCAGGGGCGTAAGACCAAGTTTCTACATTCGAACGTGGACACACAAAGAGACTGTCTTCAGTCCTCAAAACTACATTCAACATCAGGGCCTAGAGCTTCTTCGTAGGAAGGGGTTGCAATTATTAAATGAACATTATTCTACCCCCATCCCACGCTTGAGACAAATTGGCTGAATGATCACAAAAATGAACGAATGAACTCCAACCTAGCATCACTACAAGCCGCTTCAGTGATCTGGCGCTCTGGAAAGCTGAAGCGTATATAGCTTCAAGAGGTATACTTCATTTTATGATTCGACTTTTTTTAATGTTTTAGTGTCTAACATTCATTGAGCGTTCTGCATTTCGCAGTTCTCCGCAAAAACAAACGATTTATTACTCAAAAATTCCATAGAGATCTGAACATATAAATGCGGACAAACTCTAGTACTTCTTAACGAGTGGTCAAAAATACGAGTGGTCTGGGTTATCCGGATGAAAGAGCGCCGTTTTAGGATAGGCTAGTTCTGGGCGCTTCTGTTCTATTGCTGGCTGTATCCAGCTTAGTGTGAAACTTTTTTAGGAGTGATCGTTTAGCTGTGTTGTAACAGCTTTCAAGAAGTTATTTCTTTCCAGTCTCACTAGCCACTAGTTAGTAGGCGTTAATGGAATTGCTCAACGATAATTCTCACTCTACGTTGTCCTACACAACCTAGTTCTCATCTTTGGTTGCCATAGATTTCAGGAGGTGCTATCTTTCGCCAAGTTGGAGCGACGAATCACACACGGAAAGGCAGTCCGAGAGGCTGCCCTTAGTCAGTCCGTGAGCCAGCCTATAACAGTCAATCAGATCCCATCAGATGGTCGTGATCAGTCGAATTTGACACATTGAGTCTACCCGCTATTTCATGAGTAGTTATGCACCGATTCTATCTGATGATTTGTCGGATCTGTTTGAGGACAATCTCCCTCACCATTCGGTCTCCGAGATTGATTTCATCCTAACTGAAATCTTGTGAATAACTCGCGCACTGTGCATTCTAATTCAGCATTATTTCCATGAATATCACATATCTCCCTCGAAGTTTGAGATGTACTTTTGCTTTTCTGGAAACGAAAATCGAAAATGTCGATTGCCGACAGCTGTCGAAAATTCTCTCGATGATTCTCCTCCTTTACATCGGCTCCATACTAAGAGATAGCAGGGAATCTCAACATACCGTCAGAATGGAATATATAAGAATACGTATTTTCTTCAGAAAGTACATAGTATATTAAGTTAGTATCGAAGGCTTTCTATAAAAAAGTTGACAATCAAATGCCTCCAAAACTGGAGGGAGCTTTCCGAACGTCCCAATATTCTATAGTTCGCGCGAAGACGTGCTTAAAGGCACGGTTCACGATAAAAATGGTTTTAGAGATTTGCACATGATATGAATTCGGGGCCCCTCTGATACCACATGTGCCAGAATGAAGTCGAAAAACGTTTTGAATAGGGCACAATAGGGGGCCGGAAAGTGAGTCAGCCTCCGCCCCTCGCTAGGCTGACTACGAAATCTAATTGCCGTTCACCACTTTCG